TTTACTGTGCATTAAAAGCTGGAAATGTGATAATCAATCGAAAACACCAAGTGTCTTCCGGGTTTTAGGACTACAAAAAGCTGCTCTTTTCGAGAAAACTACAATTCCCAGCGGCAAGCGCGACTGAGTGACGTTGGCGCGCACAGCGGAGCGGTGGATGCTGATGCTCAGAGGACACGGAGAGATCCGAGCATCACCGGGAACCGACTGAATTATCGTGCCAAATATCTTTGGGCTTCGGTAGGATGCGTCAGGACGGATCCATGCAGGTTTGAACTGGTCTTTTGGAAGCTTTTGTTGTCACATGTGGCTCTATAATATTAAGTTATTTCATTGTAATTCCAGTTTTCCTGAGCATTTCCGAATTGTAAAGAAATGAATATGAGGCGAAATGTATCACAATTGATTGTTGTAACGTATTAACCTCGTTCTCACCATAATTAAATCTGTCGTTATGATCAAATGAACGTAAGGGTGAATAAAATGGATATTTGTAATTGATGGAAACACACCCTAACCCTCTGTAATGTGGGGGCTCGGGGAATAGTCCTGTACTAAAGCATTTTATAGCTTTAAATCGCGTCCTCTCTCTACATTGATCATTATCATAATTAAAAGACTGTCAGCTTGACTGTATTTTTATGATGGTCTTTGAGGATGGGTTTTATGGATGATTTTCTAGGTTATTTCAGCCAATGACAAGCTCTAAATTTGATTAATGTCAAGCGTAAATAAAATGTGATATTTGATTTATTGTAGGCTTATGTAGTGTTAACCATGTCGTTTGTTTGCACGTGTAATGTGTAGAAGATCAATAGGTCTGTACTTTTCAAAGCTAATTCGCAAGTTTAATCTTTACTGTTATTTAAACCATATGTCAAATCTGGCTTTTTTGTACCCATATTTAAAAAAAAATAGGGTTAGGTCTCATTATATTTTCAAATAATTATAGACCGATAATCGGTTTACCCAAATAATCTTACAATTTTTACTGTACTGCAAACGCCATTGTAATTTTGATATTTTGTATAAATATACATTAGGCTATATGTATAAAATGTTTTTCGCAGTTATTCCTTAGATATGCATGATATTACAATCAAAATTATATATATATTACAACAAATTTAGATTTTTTTTACAATGTATTAATTTATTAATTTTTAATTTGATTACAAAAAATGATTTAGATTATTTTGGATAGCAGAAAAACGTAATACAGTACAAAATTACAAATTTAGATAGCAAAAACAGTGTAAATACAGTAGATTATTGTTATTAGTGTTATTATTCATGATTATATTGTAGTGTGATTATAATTGTATAAAAAAAGAGAGAAATTAAAATATGCTTCTACACTGGTTAGCAGACAATTAAACAAAGATAATATCGATCATCAAAAATAATAACAATGTCAGTATTATCAAATGACTTTAATTAATCCAAATGTTTCTGTTAATAAATAGCAGTTTAGTGTTAGATTTTTATTGTTGTTAAACTGTTGTTAAACTTCTGTTCAAATTGCTTGATTAGTGTCCACTATCTTATGAAATATAGCTCCATAATAGATGCATATAAGCTCTTTGAAGATTTATTGGTGCAGATAAAATGCACATCTGTGTTGCCGGAGCTGTTTGTTCGAAAGCGTCTTTTCTCGTTCCAGATGGCTGCGACACAGAAAGAAGGATCTGACCAGAACTTCGATTACATGTTCAAACTGCTGATCATCGGCAACAGCAGTGTAGGAAAGACGTCGTTTCTCTTCCGGTACGCTGACGACTCCTTCACGTCAGCGTTTGTGAGCACGGTGGGCATCGATTTCAAAGTCAAAACTGTCTACAAGAACGACAAGAGAATCAAACTGCAGATATGGGTGAGTTGGCCTACATTAGAAAGCAGGTTTCATTAGACTAGCCGTGTAGCTTGAAATGAGGCCGCTTAAATTGATGCCTTGCTTGCCTCAGGTCAGTGCTTCTCAACTGGTGGGTTGCAATCCACTAAATTAGACAGATGCCAGCATATTCTAGTTCGATATTCTCTCCTTCTCAAAAGTAAATAGTGCATCTGACTCCTTGTGCATGGATATTCATTGCCTAGGGTGATGAATTTCATTCATGTTTGGTAAACTGATCTATGACAAGATACTTACTATTTAACATATTAAACAAAAGTCAGTTTGTTGCATCATATTTCTAGACAGATTATTTACCAACTTTTGTCTTTTGGCACAAACATATGAGTCAGTGTGACTCAAAATGAAAATTTGAAATGCTCAAAGCAGGTGGTGAACAAACATGATGGATAAAAGTGGCATAGTGGAATGATGTTTTGTACATTTGTTAGACGTCTAGCATGCATGCTCTCAGAAACCAGACAGATACAGGAAGGTTTTTATGATTTAAACCGAACTGATTTCATTCATGTGCAATTGAGGATTCCGTTTTGCCAGTTATTCAGCCCTTGGAGAATCATCTTTTTCATGACACTAAATATAGTTCACCCCACTTTATTTAGTCCTTAAAGGAGACATATTATGCCCCTTTTTACACTATGTAATATAAGTCTCTGGTGTCCCCAGAATGTGTCTGTGAAGTTTCAGCTCGAAATTCTCCACAGATCATTTATTATATCATTTTGAAAATGCCTATTTTGAGTGGAAGCAGAAACACTGTTTTTCGGGCCTGTCTCTTTAAATGCAAATGAGCTGCTGCTCCCCGCCCCCTTTTCCAGAATAGAGCTGCGCCATTACAGCTTGTACCTGCTAAAAACATCTGTTATGGTTCTGATTGTCAAGTTTATCGCGCTGAAATCATGTGTTTTAAACAATATGAGTTTAAACTTCTGATATACGGTTTTCTGAGTGCACGCATCTGAAGCACACGTACAGAAAGCGGCTGTCACCGCATGTGAGTACTAAACTAAGTTCTCATTCACACACAAGTTTACGTTAAAAACACACATGAGTTACAAAAACAGTCAGTTATGTCTGTGAAGGTATACTGCGGGGAAATAAATTGCATGTTTATTTTAGATCTAAATAGTGTTCTGTGCTCGTCTGTGCAGCCAATGACAGAAGAGTTAGCATGTTTTGCTCAAACTTTCGCCATGGCATTAGAACTGGTACACCGTTGTCGCTTGTGAAATCAAAATGACGGCGCTGTGGTTGGAAACTTACAGATTAAGGGGTGGTAATATTATAATGAGATCCCTTTGCAACGTCACCAAGGGAGCGAAATCAGACGCGCTCGTTTTCTCAGACGCTTGCAGAAAAAGGCTTATCAAAACAAAGTTACTGGGTTAATCTTTTTCACGTTTCCTTTGTTGGTAGATGCACTGGGGACCTGATTATAGCACTTAAAACCTGGAAAAGTCAGATTTTCATGATATGTCACCTTTAATGCGAACAAAATCTTCAATACGGATTGATTGAAAAGCAATAATTTTTTTATAGGTAATAGGTACACAAGCTGTATGGAAAGTAGCCTAAAGCAAATTCCTGTGTTGAAAATTGCTGCATGTGGTTTCCGAACTGATTGGCATTGACGTCATTGATTCAATAACGTCATTATTTGAACGTTATGTGTGGAGAGCGAACGCTGATTGATTGCACATTCAGACAGTTTTACATCAACCTGAGTTCCATAGTCATTGATTATATGATCAATCACTCATTTTTACACAAGCACAGCTGTTATTAAAGGGGTAATTCACCGCTGGCAAGATAGAATTATAATAAAAGTTGTCAGTCTATGCAATAGAAACAATAAAAAAAAAAAGAAACTGGTGCTAAATGCTTGAAAAAACAGTGAAAAAGGGCTGTGGCAAAGAAAGGTAGGAAAAGACAAAAAAAAATATCTTAGTGCAGGCAAAACAGAAAAATAACACACATTGTTCATTTACTTATATTATCGACAATGCTATATTATAGCAATACAAAGCTGTATTTTTCGTTATTAATACCAAGAAAAGTATAAGTGTAATAAATATGAATAAATATAATATATATTATTTATGTATAAGTAATAAAAACAAATATTATATCAATACATATGCTTTTTTAGCTCAATTTTCTTCCAGTGAATTAGCATTTTCAACACTTTGCCTTTAACAGGCAAAACATGCAAAAATGCAGAAAAACAATCTGTAGTTTATAAAAAAGCCCTGGAGCTTCAAAAGTCAGAAGACTTATAAATGGGATATTTTGGTGCAGGTGACATAGAAAAATAATACACATTGTTTGTTTACTTACTACTGAGATTTTAACGATACAAAGCTGGTCGAGAATCGGTGAACTCACCATTTAACTGCTGATTTAATGCTTCTATATCAATAAATTGTTTGTTCATAATCATTTTAGTTGTAGATTGTGTTGTAAACTGTAAGCACTGGGATGTCTGAGAAATCCCACTTTTTTAAAGAAATACATTTTTAGCGTAGTAAAGGTTGAATTCTCTCAGTTTTTGTTTGATTAAATACTGTTGTTGCACTATTATTTACATTATTTCACAAAACGCAACCAAGGACATTTCAGTATGTTGGACATGTGTTTATCACAGAATAAACGTGGTAAAACATTCTCAAGGGTCTTTATAGCTCCTGTCGTTCTCCTATTATATCAGCCAGATGTAGAGGACAGGAACAGCTGGGCTCAATGGTTTTGTTCTAGGAAGCGCAGCCGCATCAGCTATGAATCATGTGTCTCATTCAGCGCCGTGAGAATAGCTCATTTAGCATTATAGATCTGAGCAGCTTCATTTCGAGTTTCAAGAATGCAAGTCAATCAATCCAGTGAAAAGCTTTCCAATCTGTCCCGGCATGCCATTTAAAGTGACAATGCACATCTCAGAATGCCTGATAATTACTGTGCTAGGCCAAAAAGTGACAAGTAACTTTATTCCTGTTGTTAAGGCGAAATGTTGAAGCTAACAAGCTAAACTTTGTGCCCTGATAGAACGCATCCATTATAATCAACAGAGCTGTACACATTGCAAGCGCATGTTTTAGTAGCGTTGCGACCCTTGCTCTCAATGAAGAGGGTTGTAGAAGTGTGTCAAGAAACTAGACTCTCAGATATCACCTCACACTCATTGAGGAGATGTTACAATGAACTAATTACGAGTTTCTGAGAAGAAACATAATAGGAAGTGTTCCCACGTACCTCACATGTATTATTAAGATCACTCTGTGATCACCTGACACCTCTGAACCTGCTCTAATCGCACAACATCCGGCATACAGAGAGTTCACTTACTGCAGTTCACAGTATACAGTGTTTCCCCTAGGTTTACGGATTTTTTCCGTTTAAATTTTTCTGGACTCCTTTTTAATGGTGAAATTAAATGTTATTAATCAAAAAGTAAAACAAATAAAAAAAAAAATCTTAATAAAAAAATTCTAAAATGTTTTTACATTTTTTAAGGCATAAAACATTCATTTAATTTATCTTTTAAATAATGAAAATTAAACGCATTTAATTTTTTTGGAAAATAAAGGGGATTTAATATTACAATTAAAACATTGAAGAATTAATATAGATATATTGTATGATTATTCCTTACAAATATGGTTTTAATAATTTTAGTAGTAGTAGTAGCCTGTTACGTACATTCTACTGAACAACCTTGTGTGTGCGCGCGCATCGGGGCGGATCTCCGCTGTGCGCGATACAGAGAGCGCGACCATAACATAGAGACAGAAATGACATGCCGTCGTGTAAATAAGATAAATAACATAAGGCTATTTAGTTTGTTTAATAAAAGAACAAGGTATAGACCTGTTCTATAGAAAATAACTTTTAAATGATTTCTGTTGTGATCTGGCGCTATAGAGAAAATAAAAGTAAAAACATTTTTGAATTAACTTGACCTTCAAGGGGGGCTGGGGGTGCCGTTGGGATGGCGGGCCGCCCCCCTAATATAATGGCAGGGGAAACACTGGTATATGCTGTATTTACTGTATATCAGTATTATATTATTTTAATATTGTCAGATGAAATCCATGCCTGCTTAATTAACTAGCAAATCAATGTAGGCTAATACTTGATAAATTTTATGTTGATTGTCTCTGATATATGCGGTTGTGCTCATAAGATTACATACCCCTTGCAGAATATGCAAATATGTTAATAATTTTAACTAAATAAGAGGGATCATGAAAATTGCATACTATTTTTATTTAGTACTCTCCTGAATAAGCTATTTCACATAACAGATGTTTATATATACTCCACAAGACACAATAATAACTGAATTCATAAAGAATGACCCCGTTCAAAGGATGGTCACACCAAATGTTGATTTAATTTAGTTAATAGAAGTTAATTGACCAGTTAATTGAAAATCTATTCATGACATTATTTTTGACAGCATCCTCATTTTATTGCATTTTTACACAAGTGCCTAAAACATTTAACAGTACTGCAGCTTTGCAGGTAGGTTTCTTGAAGCATCTTGGAGACGTTGCCACAGTTCTTCTGGATTTAGTCTGTTTCAGTTTGTTCTGTTATTTATATATATACAGTATATATATATATATATATATATATTGAAATTTCACTTGCTATCATTAAACTCCATATATATATAGATATGTGTGTATATATGGAGTTTAATGATAGCAAGTGAAATTTCAATTCAATTTTACATAACATTTGCTAAAATTGGCTTTGCTGAAATTGTTTATGTTTTGACAAAGCTGTTGGTAGATTAAGGAGTTCACTGTAACAGTATAAATATATAATTAAAATAATGTATCTATTAGTCAATCCAGTTTCTCAAAAAGCCAGTGGATAATAAACATTTTCAGTTTCTAATATTTCTGAGTGAATATTGTGTATAATAATTTATAAATGAATATTAATAATCTCACTTTCTG